CACGTCATCCCTACCACGCACTCACGTTGGGAGGAAACAAGGGGCTAAGACTGATGACTCAATCGCTGTGGACCTGGGGAAGCTGCAGGGCTTCTGCAAATGATGTCACACGTGGCACTGGAGCATCTTTGTCAGGAATTGTGGGCGCTGCACATGCCTCGCCATGCCGTGGATCAGAGATCGATATTAGTCTTGTATCTCTTCTGGAGATGCATGAGAGGGAGGGCTCTCCTATGCGCGGGCAGAAATACCTCTGCATTGTAAGAGCCTCTCATAATTAATGTTTACCTTTAGTGTTTTCATGAGGTCATCTGGACGTCTAAGAAAAAGAGCTGAATACATAATAGAGGGGTTTTTTTGTGGGTTAGATCGTGTAAATATAAATGTGGTGTTCCACTCGCCGCTACCCGACAGCCAATTAGTTAGGCTTGTCACATGAACACAACATTCCGGCGTGCTGGAGAGTAAACCCACAACGTTTACAATTCGAGAGCGACGTTTCGCCGGTAATTTCAACCAGCACGGTCAGAATTGTGTGCTGAACGAGTAACTTAGTTATTTTGTTTTGTTTACGTTACAAACCACGTACTAGTTGGCTGTGTCGGGTGGTGGCGGGTTCAATGGCACGTTTATATTTACGCAATCTAACCCAAAGCACCTATTATGGATAATATTGGTCGTGAAAGCCTAAGTGTTAAAGAGCTTCATAGCTCATCGGATTCACCCAGTCTAAATAAAGATTCGGATTCATTGTTACGAATGTTCTTGTCAGCGGTGAATTCAGTCACACATCCCTCTAGGGGGATAACAAAACAACTAAAGAGTTATATGGGCTAATTTTCTCCTGTCACGGGAATGTGGAAAGTCCACTACTGACTCAAGAGTTGTAAACAAGCAATGTGCACCTCATGCTTGTTTGGGAAGGGAAACCACTGATCGTTTTGTTAATGTTCTTGGGACTCCTGTTGTTGAAATGGTACATTCAAATTGTCTTATGGTTGTTATTGTTTGACTTGCATCACACTGGGATTTTTGCACACAGCGTTGTAATACGGTGTTTTTTTTCTGGAAGATTTGCTGGTTTGTCCAGGATGTTTCTGTTGTGCGTCGTCGCTTTAAGATGTTCTCTGTTCATATTTTGTTTATTGCGGTTGCACCCGACTCAAGAGCCGCATGGCTCACAGGGCTCTACCTAATAAATGAAACTTGAACTTTAAACTTCATACCACGAGGGTGGCACGTACAGTTGACAGTGGTTTTCGATCTGCAGATTTTTCCCGGTGAGATGATGATCGGTGAGCAACTCCAGCACTTAGGTAACAGGAATGAGGAGAAGGAGGTGAGAGAGGGCACCGTGGGGATAGGAGGGCATGTCGGAGGAGAGAGCTGTGTATGAAGGAGGGAGCTGTGTATGTGTGATGGAGATGGAATCAACGGATTGGAACCCTGACCTGTCCCGGCATGCTGATGAGAAGAGTGTCCGCTGCAGGAGGAAACCCATGCAGAACAGGGGGAGAACACAGGCTACGCAGAAAGGCGCCCGAGTGTGTGGAAACATACCCAGGCACTTCTTCACACGAGGCACGAGTGTTTCCACGAAGTCGCCCTGCCGTAGAGCAGCCCATTTCCAGTCGTGATACTCATACGGATTGCTCTGTGTAGTTGTTTAAAGCTCCCATTACCCTAGAGTCCAGCTGAGCTATTACCCAGATCTTAGATCCATTTATCAATGAATGCTAAACACTCTTCTGGTAATTTAACATTGTAAGTATGTAATGCTAGGTTATACATTTAAATCGGCTTATTATAAATCCCTTTTTTTGGAAGAACACAGTGTGTATGCACATAATGGGGTATAAACTGTTTGTGTTGTGAGCATATACTTCGCAGACTTAGTATTATATGCACACATGCGTGTAAAAAGTATCACAACCATATTTGGAATACGAATTCATTTTCTGTATAACATCGCTGCATTTCTAAAACGAAAAATCACCAAAGTTGCCGTCCATTAGTCTATTATTCTGGCAACATCGCCGCTTGTAAAAATTGCATCGGCAACTTCAAGCACTGTGTGATGTTTTTTTCAATAGTCGTTGCTTATATATCATTAATATTAGTAGCATTCTGACTACGCTTGTTTAGCCAGGAAAGCCTCACTAAATCTCAAGGTTCTTATTCGGGAGGATCAGGCCAATTTTCTTTTTTTTTTGCAGCAGGGCGTGATATTGCGAATCGATTTCATTCGTGGGTACTTGTACAAATGTGGACCATCACGCCGGCACACAATGACCAACTCGTTTCGAATGACATGACGGGATCCGTAACGTCTGCTGTGAAGTAGACGGCGTTTCTTTTTTGTCATGGCCAATACATTCGCAGCGAATGACCAGGGTGACCCTGCCGGATCCGAACCACGAAGCTCTGCAACAAGCAGAGAATGCTGGGCCAGGTCACATCCCCACGTATCTCAAATACAAATACTATTAATAATAAACCCCGTTTTAGAAAGCGCCTTTCAAATTAGTCATCTCAAAGGGCCTCTTGCAATCCCCCGGGGGAGGTGAGCAAGACTGCCTCTCGCCTAAGTGGCTCGTAGTCAGAATGTTGCGAGTTCAAATCATGGTTGGGGGTTGACTCAGCCCATCATCCCGTTGACACAAATAAAACAAATACCACATTGTAGGGAGGTCAACAGTAGTTGTCCTATGGGTAGACTCACCCCCCTCCCACACCCTGCCATAGGAATGTAGAATGTCCACCAATGGCTCAGGGCTGTAAACGGGAGATGACCACCACTTCGTTACTCACGAAATGCAGGACTTTGGCCTTTTTTTATAATTAAAGAAAGGAAATTTGATGATAAAAAAATACCCACATCTCGTAGAAGCGAGAGCCTGGGTGAAACGAGTGGCTTGTTTTGTTTCCACCCCTCTGCTGTCGCAGCGGTTGAGTTTGAGTGACTGGCAGGAGCCGTGTCACTCCGCTTGTGATGCAACTCGGGCGTCTCATGGGCTTCGACCGTCGCACCACATCCCCGTCACGTGGTGTGTTCACCGACCTTCACGTGACAAGCCGCACTTTACATCTTTAAGCTCTCGGCTTCAAGCCCCTGCGCATATTTAGCGTCAGTAGTATCATGGCAGTTGCTCCAACAAATGTTATCGTCAAGTTTCAGCATAAAGTGGTGTGATTTTATACTTTGCTGTGATTGATTGCGTTGAATAGCACAATTACTTAGTAATATCTGGCACTGAGCGCTGCTCTTGTGTGGTTAGAACGCGCAATTTCCTAAAGCGCAAGGGGCTAAACAGACATTTTAAATTACATTATAGAGCACCTAAAAATATTGGCACAGTGTAATTTGTCTTAATTAGTTTCCCGTTTTCAGAAGGGCTACGTTAAACGTACGTGTCAGAGATGAAAGCAGTAGGTTTTGCATTGGGCTTCATTACTGCCGTTTCGTCTTTTTTAAAATATAGTATTTGCCCTCTTCATCAGCTTCATGCTGCCAGATTGGGAGAGGAAATCCCAGGGGCCTGGGGCCATCACGGGGCAGGCCACCCAAATTACCAGGGGGCATTTCACTGATGGGAAGAGTTTGCAATAGGCAGTGACAGCTGGTGTTTTGTATTACACGTTAACGTTAATTAATACCCACTGTTGTATATCAGCTGCTCGGGTGTCATGATATGGGTTTCTTGTTGGTATACAATACCTTTCTTTGCACGAGCTTAGCAAATAACACGATGTTCCAAAATGTACCGAATGGGCTTTGCAATTGAAATCAACATCACCGCTTGCTGGGCACTTTGTATTAATTGATGTTTATGCTGTGGGTTAAACTAAAGATGCAATTAACTGGCATTTTTTATGAATAATTTCAATCCAGAATTCCTCGTGTTACCAGGTTATTGTATAGTGAGGTTCAACACAACATATTATGTCAAAGGAAACCTGGAAATTGTAATTCATGGGGGCGGGGCAGTTATTGCCTTTTTGTTGTGGGTAGTTTTAAAAATCTGAGATTGGGTAACGACACTGTAGGGCAACCGGCACACAGACACCGCGGTCCGTTGCGGGCATTGAACCCTCGATGCGGCATAACCAGTGCTGCCGTGTGACGCGGGCAGTGAATGGAGGCGATGCATATTCATCCGACCTTCTGCTGACGATACGTCTTGAAAAGCACCGACCCCTCACCCACCACCCAACTGCTTGTGTGCCACCACCGTGGATGATAGCACCTGCCTCTTCCCCAGTCGGCCCAGATGGTCCTGTAACCCACCATCTAGAGCGAGACGGGTGTGCTCGTCGAGCCAGGAGGCAGGATTGAATCGCATATTCAATTAACGTGCTACGAGAAAAGAAAAAAAACCCTGTGCCTCCACAAGCGAGCCAGCCTTACTGCAAGCTACCGCCGTTGGCTTCATGTAGCAAGTAAATAGCAGGTTTGATTTTATTTTATTGTACCGACAATTTTAATATCACTCGGGGTGTCAATAAAATGTCACTCTCTTTGATAATATGAAATTCAATAAAAGGTATTTTTGAAAAAAAAGATATTTATTTTTGAGTTTCCACATTCGCCTCGGATGGAATGGAAAGGTTGTAATAGTATTATTATACACACACCATGCCTCACATGCTATTGGATTACATGAGTGGTCAGTACGTGTACCACGTATGTCGAATGCATGTTACTGACTTCACAAAATGGTAACTAGAATTTCCGGGCATTAATCCCCGAGTGTATTTCTGTCGGATGGGTATGGAGATGGGTGTAATTTGTGGGATCGAGGATGGATAGAGCCACACTCTGCGTTCATTTGCTGCACCATCCTTTGTGTTGATGTCTCTGGAGAGAGGCCCCGAGCAAACAGCAGTGGCAAGGAGGTGGGAGCCGGGGAAGACGGGAGGGGTGGGATTGCAGCCAGGCAAGGGAGGGTGTGTCGGGTGGGAGAGATGAGAGCGAGCTGGAAGAGAATTGCAACAAAAAAAATATAAATCCTTCCAATCGCATTTTTGGGTTTCGTTGCGAGCGGGCGTGTCTCGTCCAGTGAATAAGGAGCATAACAGATCGAGGCAGCGCGCAGTGCCAAAGCCTTCGCACGCACGCTCACACTCACTCGGAGGACCCTCTGTGGACGGCACCACACCGCTCGCCAGGGAGCTGCGTGCGGGAAGGCGGCCACGGCGAGTGGCCCTGCTGTCGTGCCACATCGACGCGAGGACGGCGGGTCTCTCTCTCTCTCCACGATGAACTCCGTCCAGACCATCCTCATTCAGGTACAGCAGATGGCTGCTGTGTTATGCGATTCGTTATTTTGCTGTGTAATAGTCACAACATTTTCAGTTTTTTGGGGGGAAAATTTGAATATATTTTGTTTAAATGTTCAATTGTTGGTTTCGGACACTGCTGTGTGTGCCCGTGTGCATGCGAGCCTTTGTCTGTGAGATGGTCGTTTGCTGTCCTTCCCCCGTACCTCCGATTAGCACGGTTGGCTACGTACAGTACGAAAACAAAAGAAGTTCTAAATGCATTGGTAGCAGTGGCAGCATGGTTGTTAGAGTTTGCTGCAACATTGGCCTGGGTTTGGCCACTTAATTCCTGCCCGTGCTCCAGCAGCGGGATTTGGCATCTGAATCTGCCGCGGCTTCTCCCAGGCGGTGAGCACACAGCCGATGGAGGGTCCCATGAAGTGAGCGTCAATATTAGCAGCGTGGGGAAGACAAAGGAGGTTGGGCATACGGTGCTGACCCCTCTTAATTTTCTGTGCCACCTTATTTATTTGATTAGGTATTGCCAACAGCATTGGCCACAGAAGCCCTGTCTGGGGTTTTTTTAAGGGGAAATATAACTCCGTGTGTTTTGGATTGTATGTGTGTGTGTGTGTTTAATTTCCCATTTAATTCGTGAAAGAACGTTCTATAATCCCATTGGCTCCGGGCAGCCAAAGGTAGAAATACAAAAATATATCACCTGAGTTTTTTTTTTTACGTGTACGCTTGGATGGCTTCTATTTTGTCAACAATATTCAATATTTGTCAACAGCCCTATAGGTTGATAAAATTAGTATGACATTGTGGGAGGTCAACGATGGTTGCATACTGGACAGACTGACTCCTGTCATAGTAGTGTGGAATTTCCACCAATTAGGGCCACAGATGAAGGGGATCGCTTTTTGATACTTGGGTCACTAACTTCCGTGTGGCCTGTGGGCAGCATTGTGGACAGACGTGTACATGTGATGGCAGCACTATCACAGTCATTGCTCGCATTGAGCGACAATCAACGAGAAGACGTTATTGCGGCTACTCTGCTGTAATTAAATGAAGGGTCATATATGCGTACATAAAATGCTAACTCTGACGGGTTGTAAACATACCCTCTTGGGCTTGGCTGATTTATATATATATGCATAGTGCATGAAAGCATTGTAAACAATAATTTTCTTCAGACGATTCGGGTGTAGTTCACACGATTGGTAACAGCAGCGTTTTCTAAACATCAGTTGCTGCTGGGCAGGTGCCGTAGATTGCATCGTAATTGCAACTGCCACCTTCTTCTGCACGGCATCCGTGCTAATTATGTAAGCAATAGAGGAGCCTGAGATTCCTGTGGGAATCCATCGGACCCCCATTACTTGAGGTTGCTGCAACTGATAGGCTGCGGATTGCATTCAACGTTTGCCATCAGACAATTGGGCTGGTGTGTGCCACTGCCTTCGTGCTGAGATTTTAACTCCTCCAGCAAGAGCACGGACTGTTACGGAGGTAGGCTGTGTGGCGTTGTTGGCTACTAATCCTTGGATCGCAGTGAAGATACACTCGTTCTCATTATTGAGTGAGTTTGGTCATCTTAACCCGGTCACCATAGACCGCACAGGAAGATGAGTTTGGTCAAGCCAAACTATGACAGCATATTCATAACATCTCAACTTGGGATGACCCAATTAATTGGATGGCTAAACATTTTATCAGTCGTGGTTGTGCACAAATGGGTTCTGTGAAGGATGACAGGTGAAGGCAGGCTTGTGAAGTCTCTCCCAGAGGGTCATCCGCCAAACACACGCCGGGCTCTATTTCCCATGGGATTATGGGATGGAAAACGTCTGGGCTAACGATTGCACAAATGAAACATAGTTGTTGTAAATGGACAAGTGTTGTTTCAAAACAAGCATCGCCAATTATACGTTAAGAAGAGATAAACTAAATACTTTAATGAAAATATAGTTAAAATGTTATATATTCGACATTTATTTAAATTATAATGTTAATTATGAGGCTGGACCATGTGACTTGAAGTGCACTTTCCGAAAATGTCACTCTGGATGCTGTAAGCAAAATAGTTTGTGGTGAATTCACGTATAATGTGCATAGCAATTTAGGTGTAATAAGGATATGAAGAGATGTGTTAGGGTGGGTTTTTATGTTGGAATTTAGTGTAAATAGATGAGTGCTTAAGGTATAAGTCATATCTATTTTGTGGGTCAGAGAGCTGGCAACTACAAAGGGAGCGTTTGGCCATTGCGTTTAGCTGCATGTAGAGGGTTCTCTAAATGTCATAGTTTAATAGGAATTGAACACGACAGGAATATAATTGTTTAATCAGGAAGAGGACATTGTGATGGTTGTGACACGTGTGCACAATGGAGAGAGAGAGAGTAGGTTACTGATGCCACAATCATATTTGCCAATTAACTAGAACATTGCAAAAATAAAGCACTTTAGCCTGGAATGGCACAACATAACCAAAGCCAACATTGAACATTGTTTCACGAAACATTCAGTTTTTTCCTGTGGCCCCAGAGGGGAGGAGGTGGAGGGGACGGAGTGTAAGGGGCACGAGGCCACGGGGCAGGTGGCTCTTGAACACTCAGGACTGTCAAACCATTGGCCATGGAAATACAGCAGCATGGCGCTGGCTTTAGCCTGCTGGATTCCTCGTGGAAAATTTAGTTTTCAGTGAGGAAAAAACCCTCAAGATAATACGAGTGAATTTGGTTAAACCAGGTGAGAACTCAAGAGACCAGGATGGAGTCTCGATGGCAAGAGTGGCGTGTCTGTCAGCAGTGAGCGATGATGGCTATTGTGTGAGTGTGTGTATATATAAAATCCCAATTAAGCCATTTGCGGTGCAATTTTCTAATTTTTGGCAAATTGGGAATCCTGATTCCGGCAAAACAATGGCCTACTCTTGTGGAATGACATCAGGGGATCTTAACATCCACTGTTAAGCGGACGGCGCGTAGTTTTATGAACAAGGTTATCATTACAAGCCGCAATATTAACCAGGGCGGCCGCTTGATTCGAACCGTGAACCTCCGGAACAAAGTGGCGAATGCGGCGCTACCGCTGGGGCCGTCTCACTGCCCGTGTGATGAGTGCTGGCGCATGCATACGTTCCTTGCCATAACAAACCTGCGTGGCTTATTTCTGCTGCCCAATTAGTTTAACTGTGTAGTTTTCGCATGTGGATGTACAGTTCAGTAGACGTACATTTATGGTTACATTTTAGTCAGCACAAGTGATCGTGAGTTGTATTATATTTTAACTCCCCATCATTATTCTCGTTCCAGCCATAATCTTGCACATTGTCAGTACACTGACTAGATTTCCTGTTGTCTTTTGGCATACATGTGAGACTTTTTAATTTAGACTTAAAAATGTGACATTTTCTCCTTCATGGAGCGAGTGGCTCTGCTTCAAATCATCTCTTTCATATCCCCCTGTTCAAGGCACATTTGACATAAGCTCAAAAATAATAAGCCTGCCCCAAAAGTGAAAACTGCAATCTGTACTTTAAATAACATTGGGAAAGAATGCAGCCGGATAGTGGAGTAATTGGATACATCAACAATAAATGAGCATCACTCCTCACTCATCAGTGGAAACCATGTAATATTTTCACAGATACTGGACATCTGTGGGAAAGAGCTTCATAGCTCATCGGATTCCTCCAGTACAAATACATATTCTGATTCTGATAAGCAGTCTCCTTCACTCCTTCACATATCAGCCTCCACTTAAAAAGATAAATTAAATTAATCCTTACACAACCCATCAGCCGCACAGCCTTCTGGGAATACATAAATTCAGCAGCATTGCTTCGAGACAAGCAGACTGTGAACCGGTTTCGACATACAGTCTCTTATGAACAAAGCCAGTTTGCTTTGTGGTGCAGTTATAGTCAACGAAATAAAACGACTATATTTAGCGGCATTTTGTCTCTATTTCCTCGAATTATTTATTTTCTATCTTAAACCCCTGTGCACATACTCTGCTATGATTCTAGAGCTCTGCAAGGCTACACTGCAGGTCGTTTATTACAGACTCTGTTTGTCTGGGGTAAACAGGGGGGCGGGTACCCCCCCCCCCCCCCCGGTTCCAAATATCCAGAGTCCCAACCGTGAATTCACTCCTGTATCCGGTGGGAGGGTGGGTGGGAGGTGGGGGGCACGGCCACGGATAACCCCCCGGGCAAATGAAAGAATTTGCCCCAATAATCCCGCTTATCCGTCGTTCCGACCGCGGATTTTGGGAAGAGCCAAAAACGTCAAATGTGATTGGCCGAATAGGGTCCCTCCGCCCCCCCACCCCACCTGAACCCGAGCAGTGCCGGATTAAGCTGGTGCGGGGCCTGTAGCATATGTTATAAAGGGGCCCTAAATAAAAACATATATAAATACACACATTTTTACTTGCACAGTAAAGTAATTGTATTTTTTTATTTGCTATACAGCCAGATAATACGACAAATCGCTAACTTTAAACACCCAGTCGTTCATAGACGTTGAAGGCAGTATAGTACTATAGTAATAGAGCAAGTGCAGAATAACTGAACCGGAATTGATAGCTTAAAAGCATTTAGCGCGGGGCCCTTGATAGTGCGGGGCCCGTAGCTACTACATATGTAGCCACTTTTGCTACTAGGGTAATCCGGCACTGAACCTGGGCTCTTTTGCTTTGGCGGTTTTTTCCATTGTTCTTGGTGTTACGTTTGTTGTTGTTGTTGTCTATCGCACCGGTGAGACAAGACCATAAGGGAGGCTTGTCTCTGGTGGAGGCCAATCAGTTTCAAGGACAATGCGTACAGCTATCAAAGCCTCCTTGTTTGCATGTGTTATCACACATATGTGGGGTTAATGCAGACTTGATGCCCTGTAACACGTGTGTCTGTTTGGTGTTTTAACATCTTAACACCTGTCCGTATTATTGCCAGAAAGGGTAAAAGCCTTTTATTCTTTTTTTCATCACTCGTTTGTCCAACCACATTTGTAGTGGGA